ATTCACGGAAGAAAATAATATCGACCCGGTCAGTCAGTAATGTAAATTGGGCTACATTTTTAGGGTTGCAGACTGTTTGTAAGGCAAACTAACTTGAGGAGAGTTTTGCCCCACGACTCCCTAATCTCTGTTTTATTATATTCTAAATTCGAGTATAATTTATTACAACTACATTTTGGTTAATATTTTATAATACATTTTATACAAGAAAAACAAATAAAAATGTAAAGGAAGATATAAATAACACATTAAAATGCATTTTAAATATATTAAATACATTTAGTAATTTATTATTATTAAAATATATTATCACTATATAAAACGATAAATTTCTCTCAATATATATCTCGTACCATTATTTTTTTACCTTCCTTTATTTTTTCATAATCAGTAGCGATTTTATTAATTTTTTATATATCTGACGATGAATTTTTAATTCGAAACCGGTCATACATTACACATGTATTAATACTCCAGGCTACGTATTAATTAATTTATTTGTTTATTTCAATATAAAATCCATTTATTTACGGCGATTAACCATTCACTAATTTTTGTTTTATTTTATTACTTTATTATAAATACAATTATGCTAATGCTACAGTTAATCAACCAAATATAAATTAGTTTATTATTATAATACTGATATTAAAATTGGACATAATTTTTAAATTTTTAAAATTAAATTATTTTTATTTTTTTAAATCTGTTCACATGACATTTTAGGATTACAGAAATATATTCTTGCCACTATATGACATTTCAGGGGTCGCAAGCGCAACCCTGTACGACCCCCAGTTTACGCTACTGCTCTCAGTACGAAGTGGTGCTCAAGAATAAAATTTTCAAATAATCATAATTCTAAAATATGTATTATGCAGGCAATGTTCATCATTTAAAGCCCGATTCATACTCATACAACAAGACACGACAAACAAAAATATCATCAAATTCACGTACCACCGACAAGACACAAAAAACACGCACTTAATTGATTCCAATTTTTGTTTCAAACGGTCGAAAATAGTTAATTCCCAACATGTTTCAAGATTTTTAAGTTTGAATATTTGACCGTGATAGCATTATTTCTCAACGTCAACAAAGAAGAAAATTGTGATCATATGGTAGTCAAAAGACGATCTATATATTTATGTTTAAAAAAAAGAAAAGTTTACCATGTAACTTTGTGTAAAATTGTTTTGAGGAATATAAACAACTTATATTTTGTGGTCTAATATAATATAATGAGTGTATTAATGTACTACTAGTACATCTAGTACTTGTATATCTATAATAATTAGGTTTGTGATCAATCTAAAAATATTCATTTACAGTTGTGATTTATAAATTAATTTAAATAAATGAGTACACAAAAAATATTTATATTTTAAATAAATTGATTCTCACAAGCACCGACGGACTAACAAGAGTTCTTTGCTCGAATGTTTTGTCATATCGTGTCGTGTAGTATCGTTTCGTAGTTGTGCAAATTGAGCTTATTATATACTTTACTTTTAGGAAAACGTTTTCGGATTTATTTCTATTAACAATTTTCTTAGTTTCAGTATTCAATCTAATGGTTGGTTTGTAGCAACTTCCATATTTCTCTATCACTAGTCTTCCTCTTTAGCTTTTGATAAGAAATACACCTTTGATCTTCTATTATCTAACAAAAATATTCCAATATTCGTCTACCTCTACGATTTTTCCATCGATTATTTCTTCTAAGATTAGTCCTAGCAATTCACCGTGTCTTAAAATATAACCTATCAATTCGTATCGCTTTTTCTGTATACTCTTCCATAATGATTTCCTCTCGTATATCCTTTTTAGAATATCTTCATTAGTAATTCAATCAGTCCAACTTGTCCAACAGTCCATCTTTTCCATCTTGTAGCACCATATTTCAAATGATTCTATTATTTTCATTTTTTCCCTTGCATTATTCCATATTTATCATCCATATAATATAATGCTTCAAATGTAAGTTTTTAGCAAATTTCTTCTAATGCTAAGATCAATATTTTTTTAAGTAAAAATACTTCTTTTCTTATTAATTCTACCTTAGCTTAGCATAATCGCTTTATAATTCACTTTTTACATTTCCCATCTAACCTTATAATTTTAGTATTGATATATTTAACGCAAGTTGTTTTATAGAAATTGGGTTGTTACGGCAATTATCATGACTGATCTGATCCTATTTACAGATTAACAGTGCCGACAGTAAAGCAATTGGTGCTCTGAACAAATAAATAATTATGTGTCCTTCCCCATATAATTTGTAGTCGTTTTATTTTAAATCCTTTTATGATTTATTAATATCTAAATTCTAAATAAAAAGCGATTACGAACGGTGACTGATAATAATAATAATAATAATAATAATAACAATAATAATTTATTATTTATAAACTAAATTATTATAGGTATACCATAAATAATAATCACCGCCTTTCATCAAGCGCCTTTGGCGTAAGCCCATGTCATCCACCCCTAATAGCCTTGCTGATTAATACCGAAGTACGAAAATTATTAACCCAAATGGTTACAGTTATCACTATTTTTTTTCTGATTATAAAAAGTACCAAATGATCTTTATTAAATATAATATATATATATATTAAGATGATCCTTATTTATAGAAGTAAAAAAAAATTTTTATTTTTTTAATGTAGAACCCCCTAAATTTTTTCATTGTTATGAGAAAATAATTTTGGTTTATTTTGGTCGTGACTACTCACTCTCTTTCCGTGCTCCTGGGGGGGTCGAAATATAGTCAACAAAAGTAGTTTTGTTATTTTTTCGATCTAACTATATAAATATGGTACTTAACGAAAAAATGTATAGAACTTAAATTGTAGGATGTACAATTTTAAATAAAAAATATGTGTATATTATTTATTTTAAGTCTATTATTTTTAAAGAAAATGAATAAAGAACATTTTTAATTTTTTTGACCAAATTTATAATTTTTAGTTATCTGAATATATTTGTTAAACGGATGGAGTTACAAAAAAAAATGTTTATATAAAAATAATGTAAAATTGAATTTCTTATTAAGAAGGTTATATGTAAAAAGGGTACTTGTGCGTTATCGCGACTACCTTAATTTCGAACGCATTATTGTACGCAATATATTTTTAATATGTTTATAATAATACAAAACTACCCAAAGCTAAAAGTCAATGTAGTTGGTAAGTTCCATAGATCCATTGCCAAATAATCGTAACTGTACAATAAGTTATAACTACTACAGCGTGGTTGTGACTAAATGTCTACAAAAGTCCTAAAAGTTACCCAGCCAGTCTATAAAAATTGTGATAAGTGCAATTGTAACAACACTGGAAAAAATAGAATTAGAAATAGAATTGCGTATAAAACAGTGTCGCTATAACCCATAATATAAGGTAGTCGCGATAATGCATATGTGACGCGCGGTAGGCGCGATAACGCACAAGTACCGTAACAAGTTCATTTAGTTGACCATTTTATTGTTATACTTTATTTTAATATTATTAAAAAACATTATTACTTTATAGTATTAATTTTATTAAAGTCAATTATTATACCATTTATTAGATACGATTAGATAAAAATTATTAGTATAATAAATTTGGTCAAAAAAATTAAATATGTTGTTCTTTATTAATTTTTTTTTTCGCTAAGTATCTTATTTATATAGTTAAATCAAAAAAATAATAAAACAACCCTTGTTGGCTATTTTTCAACCCCCCAGAGGCACGGAAAAGGAGTGAGTAGTTACAACCAAAATCAACCAAAATTATTTTCTTATAACAATGAAAATAATGAGGGGTTCTACATCAACAATTTCAATGCTAAAAAATAAGGACCACCCTAATATATATATATATACATCATTATTATTATCGTGCTATCGCGAACGAAAATCGACGTAAGAAACTAGGTAATAATACCATACGATTTCAGAGCACGAAAACCGTTACATAGCCAAAACCGAAAAACGTACTCCATTTGTACTGTTAGGTTGTATATTAAGTTAATACATATTTTTCTTACCTACCTGTGACTTAGAAACACGAGTCGTGCGCGTTACTTGAAAATTCAAGTAACCCAATAAAACGACTTATTCTCGGCTTCGATCAACACGACATCCACGTACCAGAACTTCGCGTATTATACAGTTATCCGTGTGTACAATATATTATTATATTGATTTTTTGTATTATTTCCTTCGTTTTTTTTTTTCTTTTTACTTTCATTATCATTGGAGCGAAATCGAAATTAAATACCAGTCAAATTTACCGGTCGGTTGAGTAAAACAATCTCGAAGCGATTTTTCGGCAATAAAATAATACGGTTTATTACGACAATGCTGCGGGGTTAGTATATAGCTAGTTATAAATATATATTTATTATTTTTTCAAATTGAACGGCAATATCACAATGGACCGCGCCTTGGTCGTTCGATTGAAGAAAAATCGGCCGGTCGCCAAGCCGTTGCTACGTTTAGTTTATACATAATAACGTATGTCCTTCGATTCTCATGTTCTCATGGCTTGAAATTGACGAACTTAGCGCAGTAGAAAAAGTGTGTGTGACGATAATTTAATGTGAGCAATGAAATCGTACTGATCACGAAAAACAGTTACACGTGCCGATATTGTAGAATCACAGTTTACGCGGAACGCGGAAAAATTACATCGTTCCTATCAGACATATAAATCAATTTTCCGAAGTCATAGGTTCGTCTTTAACAGCAGACAACACCACGGACAGCAAACGTTTATTTAGTGAGTAGAAAATTGCATATTTTTAAAACACGAGTTTTAGCGAACCGGTGCAATAATAATATCATACTGTTGTAACCGCGGTGCAGTGACCACTCGAACAATATCCGAACCAAGTTAAAGTTGTGCGCGTCAAACGATTATAACACAAACGCCCCGTCGTCGTGTGTTACGCGGAAAATCGATATTACCATTTGAACATATTAACAATGATTTATTTTCGCATACCTGAGTGTGTAGTAATAGAAATATATATCCTCTCCGGGACACAGACCATCCGAATCTCGTCTGTACACGCAATCGCGGCTGGTGTTATTGTTGCCCTGGTAGCCCATGTTCAAAGCATTCTGAATCAGCTCTCTGCCTCTACTGATCAGCGAACCTGAAATTGTGTTAAGCAAACAGTTTTATTTTAGTTTTAATTATTCGATTTCGTGATGTATCCGTGTAACTCACGGTAATTCCTAACTAAATTATAACGCTAAATCCTTTATGATTTTTAAATTCAAGGTTCGAATGACTTACGTTCGTACAATGAACAGACTAATACCCAATAAAAATACGCATATAACAATGATAACAAGAAAACAAAACAAAAAAAAATATAATTTAATGTCATAACAAAAAAATGTTTCCTAAAACTATACAAAATATTAGTAATGGCATTAAATTTAATAAACTATTGAACATATTGTGCTCGGTAAAAATTAAAGGATTCGCGTAAAATACGTATACGTAACACGCGATATACATTATTCTTATTATTTTTTTAAATTTTTTCAAAAAATTCTCGGAAAAAATTACAATTAATTCCATGACAGTTACAGGCCACAACAACGCGACAATTCGTGGCTCCATTTCTCTCGTGTAAAAATGCGTAGTGACTAATGATTTTTAGTTATTATTTTCCCTATTTTCAATTAAGAGTATTTTGGTTACATTTTTTCGTTTAAATATATAACCCCACTTAAAACCTTCGTTTCGAAATACGTAAAAATACCATGGTCATTTTTCTATTTAATTTAAACAACACATACGCACGGTAATAAATATTTACGATTTATATTATACAGACGGTCGTTGTACGTTAGATATGGCAAATTCCATTGTACGCAAAAAAAAACTTTGAGGACCCGCAAATAATTAAAATATTTATATTATATGTATATCTTTAATAATTAATTACAACATCACAATATATGTACCTTTTTGCTATTGTTGACATCGTTCGAGAAATTAAATCGTTAATTTATTAAGAACGCAGTTAACATACTAAATAATATGCATTAGCAATTTTGTCTATTTGTTCTTTGACTTATTCATGAAAGTCACTAATTTCAAAAATTAATTTTATAAAATCTGATTTAAGAAACCGACTGACTGATGAATGTAGTTCCACATATATTTAATTAGAAGTTACTAATTATTACTAATTATAAACCAAATATCAACGAATCAATATCGAGTATTCAACAAAAGTAATCACTTTTTTAAATGATGAATAATTACCAAAGTAATATAATTATTTATTTATATAAATATTAATTATTTTAAATTTATACTTTAACAATAAAAATTTTCTTATAATACGTAATAGAAACATATATGTAGGTATATATATATTTTTTATGATATCCAATGGTACGCTCGAAGAAGGAAAAAAAAAGTAATTTTTGGCACGTAGCGTTAAAATAATTTGCCACCCCTGGCACTCTACGTTATCACGCCCCGAACAAATGTGTACGTCCCGAAAACATTTTGCAATTTAGTCGAAGCAGAAAAACACGTTAATATAACCGTGTGACATCTCTCGCCGCAGGAATCGCACATAATCACTTCTCTGTTACATCCAATAGTTTCGCAGGTAGGTATAATCGAATTATCCCAGGAATCGAAAAACGTAAATCGTAAATCTAAAAGCACTAAATCCTAATTGGGGTCAAACTAATAATCAAACTAATTTCCACGGGGTTTCGTTCGGTTCATTTTTTTTTTCATTTGCCGAAAACTCACGTACGACACTATAATATAATTATTACGTGAGTGACAATATCTTGACAACGGGAATATAAAATCATCATTATTGTCATCCGATAAGCTGTCCACGACCATTGTTTTATCGTTGTTGCCGTTGTCGAGAGGTAAAATGTGTTCTGCAGTACGAAATTAGTTTTTAGCCATTCACTCGATAGGTATAAAAAGATAAAAAAAAAAAATCGATATTTAATAAGCTATACACGCAAAGTAATATTCTACATTTTACGAAGTCTAATCCCGTTATACAGTTGTGTAGCATTGTATTTCAATACTTAATATTTTTTAATTAAATTTTCATATTTATTCAAAAACAAATATGATAAAACGTTTTCGTTTGAATGCTTCACTAAACCATTGTAATTCTACAATACAATGTAATAGTAACGTAAACAAATCATACTTAAAATAGTATTTCACTGATTATTTGAATTATTTAAAGACTGAAACGTAGAGAATATCAAAATCAATATAAAACACCGTGTAATAATGTGTGTATAAGATAATTACTTCCTGTTATATAAAAAAAAAAAAAAAAATCAAATAAATAAATGTCTCAAAACCAAAGGCGTGACCATACGTATGAGTTGAAGACGTAAAGATAAAGTAAAACCCATAAGCATGTTAATATCGTGCGTATACATATTACATAGTGATTAAAGGAATGGTAAAAAAAAGAACGTACCTATGAACGTTCATATTTTTTCAGTAGTTCCACGGTCAAGGTTTCTAATTGAAAAATACAATAATATGCCTTGTACGCGTGATAAAAAAAGGTGAAAAATAAACTTGTACTCGTAAATAAATAAAATAAAATATGTAGTATTATATTTTTTTACGCTATGATTGAAAACAAAAATTATTTTATTTTAGTTTATTTTTTCCGTAGTACGGAAAACTTGAATAGTTCAATAATTCCGTAATGATATTCTTGTCATGTTGTTTTTTTCGTGAGAAATCATCGAGCTTAAATAACACGAGTAAATGCGACGAAAGTCGAAACCAATATATCCTGAGAATAATAAAAGGTCTTGAAATTGCTGTTCGTCATGGCGGCATATTAAAATTCCATTTAATTCTGAACAATAAGCGTTCCGAATCCATCTGGAAAATCTGACGATGGAAACCCCTGTGTAGACATTGGAAAAATAATTTACTAATAAGACTCGTCCAGGATAAAATACATTGTAATGCCTACGAGACGTTTACTCGCAAAAGCTGTTGCGGGTACGCGTATAATTTTTTCTAATTATTTTCCTCGCCGTGCGATATAATATATATGTTATACACTCTTATAACAGTTTCTGATTCATTTGGTCCGTTGATAATTATTCGATTTCAAATTTCGATAGTATCTAGGAGGAAAGGTAGCAGCAGTGGTGTATCGAAAACGGTTATTGTCAATAAACCAATATTATTGACTTTCAAACAATTTTGACATTTCTTTAAGTTTTCCCGGTGCAAATATGGTTTTGTTTTGTTTATCTTTTCAGAGATTGTGAACGATGGCACTTTGAAAACTTAAGTTTAGTGTCACGTTTAAAATCAATATTTTATATTAAAAAAATAATAATAATAATAATAAATGTACGCACAGCAACCGTCTTGTCTGTACAATATTTCAATACGGAATAATCTTTCACGGAACATTTAATTTAAATTCTTATCCCTCTTGTGTATGTACCAGAGCTCTGCAGTGATATTTACTTATGCTGAGTATGTAAGTTCCGCGCACCGTCACGGCTTAATAGGTCAAATTTTGGAATCGTACACCAAGTCAATTGCTTTAAAGTCGAAACGGAAATATAATATAATATATTATATGACGTACGGATGTGATATGAAAACTCGGCCCTTGAGTATTATAATATATTATATATTACTGGTGAAGCGAAATTACATGCAAGCTATACCGACATTGCATATAGTTTTCGTTTTCGGAAGGTGAATATATATTTATGATCAAGGAGAAAAGAAATGGATTGTTCTATTGCTCGAAAAGGAAAATATTCCCAATTTGTATTATCGAATGAATTGCATAAAGCGGTTCTTCGATTCATGGACGCAACTAGAGCCCAAATATTGGGGATGCTGAAATTGCTGAAAATAAAATTAAATGGTATTTCAATGTAATTATTATAGATTATATAGATCTGAAATAAGAAAAAAACAAGAGTGCTACATTTAAACTCAGAGGTGCTAAAAACCCTATTTCGCTCCTCTAATTACGCCTATGCTTCGATTGTTGAAATAGAATCTTTTACTGTCAATTATTAACTTTAACGGTTTTTCATATTCAAAAATCGTTGATCGTTCATTGAAAATGCATGTTCGTATCACAAGTACATTAGCTTATAAAAATCTTTAAACAAACACGTAATTAGAAATAAACAACAGAAGAGTTAGATTTTCGTTTTCGAAAGTTTATGTTTGTGAAACGACATCCTATTCCGTTTACGACTGTATAGTATTGGCCGTAACACAATTGAACCCATTTTACCTTTTTATCAGAGCCAATTTTATCGAGTTGTTGGTAAATTGTTAGAAAAGCAACACCAATATCTCATGGAACGCGATCGTATTGCATTTTTTTTTTTTTTTTGTAAAAAGGTAAAACAAACGCAATCCCGTAACAGTGATAATATTACGTGCGACAGTATTTCTCAATATTTCTATTACGGTGGCACATTATCAAAATATTTCATATTTTAGGAATTCGCTGTAGGAAAATTAAGATAAAGGAAAAAAATTAAAACGAAAACAAAATCATTTTTGGGTGTATTTATCAATATCTCATTTTAATAAGCATTTTTTAATAAATAAACGTATTATAAATATTAAACAACAGAGGCGGACGCAGAAAAAAAAATTCAGGAAAGATTCCAAAAAAATAAGAATACTTACCATTATTTTGAAATAATTCTTTATTGTATTTTTATAAGTTATAACAATTATAAAATCAAATTCATCGGTCCATCTGGACTTATGGGATCCAATTATGGGGTACTGCCAAAATGTCCAACATCAACCACATCCAAAGATTCCAATCAAAAACTCTACGTAGAATTCTAAAAGCGCCATTCTTTGTCTCTAATCACACCCTCCACTCTGACCTTAAAATTCCGTATGTTTCTGAACTAGCGAAAACACACTATAAACGTTTCAATAACCACCTAGCCCAGCATGCAAATCCCTTAATCTCCGATCTATCATCTACTTCTATCCCAGGTAATCCAATTAAAAGATTAAAAAGACAATGGTGTCGTGACCTGCTAGTCTAAATAAATCTTATTCATATCGTAGTACCTCCATTGGGAGACCTCTACAATCCGCTTAATCTGTCTTTTTATTTTTATTTTAGCTTATTCTATATCATCAATTATTCTTATTGTTCTCTTTGAAACAGATTGAATAAAACATAATCTAAACTAAAAAAAAAAATTCATCGGCTTCGGTGCTTTTGCCATAATATCCAAGATATATACACAAAATACCTCCACGTCTCTATATATGTTTAATAATGCTAACCCGTTCAATCGGTTCTCCACCATTTTGTTTCGTACATAGGTTTTTAATCAACGAAAACAAGAGAACAATCTTTCATTCGAAGTAACTGAAATGGGAAGTGTTGCTCCAATTTGCAAAAATCGATGTATAAACAAGTATTGTCATCATATAGTTTAAAACTTTTGAACTGAAAGAACCAATACCTTATAGAACGTTTGGAAAATTACAAATTATTACAGATCCACTTTTCCAGCTAAAAAATGTGAAGTTATTTTTTTTTCTAGCATATTTTAATCGTCTTTTGAACAATTAACTTTTTAAGGTGCATAAGGTAGGATAACTGCGTTTGAAATCAATCATACATTCATTTCGGGGGGTTTGAACCTCCAAAACCTTTCCCTGCGTCCGCCACTTTCAAATAATGAACGTTGTACATTATGTACAAAAATATTTATTCGTGTCATTTAATACTACGCCTCGCGACACCCTTGGACTTATACCGTGGCACAATTTATGATAAACACGCGACGATCGGTTATAAAACAGCTATGGGTTTGTCGGAAATCGCGGCGATAAATTAAAATCTGCGAACGGGTAAGAACGCGGATATCGTTACGTACACCTTGTTGGAATAAAAATAATCGCGTCCGGGTCGGTCGCGTGGACGAACGGATAAATAGTAATATAATATGGTAAGGTCACGGCGCTACGAACTTTAATGGTCGATTGATGATCCCGTGAGTACGACTCGTCATAAGAAAAATCGTTTCTGGTCGTGCATGTCTTACGGTTTGTGAAGTCGAGCGGTGCGTTTGTATAAATCAAACAGCGCGGTGCGTGTGGAACAAGAGCCAAGTGTCCGGAGCGTTCCCCTTGAACGACATACAAACAATAACACGCAACCTTTTACATCCGAAAATCCTAAGCGGTTCCGTTTTTTTTCCGCGTCACAACACGGTGCGATGGGGTTTTTGAAAAAAAAACGTACGGTTTTTCGATTGTTCGGCCGACGGGCGCGGGCAAACGTCTCCGTGCCATTTGCAAGTACGCCGCCGTTCACGATTTTCATTGCTCGCTTATCCGTGGAGTTTGCTTTCTCCTCGTTGTTTACCTTGTTTAAAATAATAGGTTCTTATTGTTGACTCGACTGTGCGATTATACGCGTTTCAAACGCGTCGGCCACAATGGAAGACGTCGTTTCATCCGGTGCTGTTACGTTATCGTCCGACTTCCGGATATTGCTTGTGGCTCGATGAAATTTACTACGGAACCGGTTAGAGATGTTTTAGTACGTTTGAGTAGGTACGCTCTTTTTTTTTTTTTTGCATTTTTCCGACAGATACATAATTAACCGTTATAAAATACTAACTAAAAGTTTACCGTAGAATTCATGTATGAATTATATAAGTTTCACGGTAAAGTCCAGTGTTCGATTCGAGAAACTAAAAAAAACATTTAGCAGTGATAAAAATTTCATAAATGCGTTTACGTACACAGAATGTTCGATAGTATATATTTATTGTTTGAAATAAATCACTTTAAGCATCACTTGTTGAATATTGTCCGCAACATGATATTAATAACGAATTAATCCGATAAACTTTTATGGCCACGTTATATCGGCTATAACTTGTAATATAACAGTTAAAGTGTTTAAATGCTAATTAGGTATTCAGCCGCATGCATTACACGATTATATATTTATAGTTAGCAAAAACGTTTTACCGTTAGAAAAGAAAATTACGAAACGTTAAGTTACGTCCTTGCGATTTATTTAATTCATATTATTAAAAATGTAACAAATGTATTCCGCTTAATGTTTCAGATTAACGCGCCTATACATACAACACGGTGGTGGGTAATTATACGTATAATTACAATGATTTGTTGCGCAGCTCAAACGGCAGAAGATTAAACAAGTATTATCGTTATGTATGATTAGTATTCTTTGAAACACGTTACATTAATGTGTATGATCAGTTCACGTGACGACGTTAACTAGAAGATGATCGGAATGGTGAATGTATAAGATTAGAAAAATACCAAGTAGTTTCAATTTGTATAAAACCCGTACGATTACAATAATACCTCTGGACGAATTTCATTTTTGCATTTGCTATGTTTCATGACCCATATCAAATGATACCGTGCTGCGGGCCAGAGGATAACAACGAAAAACAAAACGTGAAACCTTTCAATTTTTTTTTTTCGATTCATGTGCCTAGAGTTCAACCTGTTCACAAAATATGTACAATCGTTTTAATGTTGATAACAATCCTTATTCGTGGGTCGTTAAAATCGCTAAGTGTTTGATTTAGTAATGCGTGTAACTGTTAAATAATAGATGTATGTTTTGTTTACTCGGCGTCAAAAGAACGGGGAAAAATTAAATTACATTTCAAACGCACAGTGCGATGTTCGTTGTTTGTTTGTTCACGTGCGTTTTGTACGTACAACGGTATATGGAAATAATTCGAGGAAAAAAAATTGAAATCTTAAACATTCGCGATGTCGAATAATATTTGGTACCAAAAATACAACTCCCGTGAGGAATCTCGTAACCGAACACGAGCACAAACACGGTCGTTTGTACAACATAAGCGCAAATCGAAACACCGATCCGAGCAAATGTATTCCGTTGAGAACTCTAAGTTAACCCTTCAGTCCCAAAAGATGGGCACAAAATTGTTTCGATTTCAAAAATAAATCAACTCGTAACATTGGCCTAATAACGTGGATCGCAAGATTTGAGGCTTGGCGAACGAACTCAATTTTCTACTCGCAAAATTAAGTTAATTGCGAAACTAAGGTGCTAACGTTAAGAATTTCTTTTTTTTTATAGCTCCGTTTGTTCACCTAAATACTGTTATGATCCCAACCGAAATCCAGGAGCAGTGCACATTCGAACATTACCACGATTATGACGATCAACGTTTTTCTTAACAAAAATGATAATTCGGTTTACGCAAGCTCTCTAGGAATGAAATAACGGGAAGTATGAAGTTAACGCGACTGTAAAACCAATCAGCTGCAGGAAATAAGTCACTCGGTCAGGTCGGAAGTGACTTTCGTGGAAAATCCGCTGACGAGAGAACGGCGGACGCAGAAAAGTTCGATTGCTACTGTCAATGGCAACGATATATCGATGTATCGAAAATATATATACATGAAGTCAATATATCGTGACATTTTACATCGATACAACGTTACCGATATTTCGTGTCCAAACGATATTTTAATGTGATTAATCTACAGGAAATTACGAATAGATATTATTATATAGGTACTATTATAAACTATTTGGGATGTTATAAATAAATATTAATATATTTATAATATAAATAAAATTATTTTCATTATATTTTTCTTGGCGTGTACTGCAATATATAAAAATTGCAATTTAAATTTATTAATATCGTTCTGGTTTTATAAAATATTTTATAATTTTGTTGAATGTACATGCTTTGATTAATCGATTTGTTTATCATTATTCCTGTAGTAAATATCGATTACAAGTTAAGGCCTCGGCCTACGGCTTATGGTTATGAAACGTATTAAAATAAATTATAACCTACGTCCTATGTGCACGTTTATAAACCTTTTTAATATTGGAAAAATGTTCCGATACATTGATATAATAGAGGTTGATATATCGTGGTATCGATATTGGGTGTGCAATGTATCGAAATTACGATACATACGATACATCGATGGTTAACGATTTTTCGCCAATCTTAGTTGTCACTACGGTGCCCAAACCAAGCCCCTTGCGTGCGCGGTCGGGTGTACTCACCGGAGTCGACGGACGCGATGGCCAAAACGCAGATGATGCACAAGTTGCGCGCGACGGACCAAACCATCGTGTTCGCGTTGCGTCGGATCGCCGTGATTGGATGCGCTGCGCGTGACGGATGGACGGGTTAGGGTGTGTTACGATCCCTCGGACGGGATGCACGTTTTTCCCCGGTGCGAACGGGTTGTTGTCGTGGTGTACGGTGACGGACGGCGCGAGAGTCCACTGACAGCCGACGGAGGAGCGCTGATCGAGTGACGGAACGGACGACGGACCGCGTGTGCGTCCGGCACGTATGTGCGCGCCCGTTTATATCCGCGACCGCTTCGCGCGCGTGCGCGTGCGCGCGCGCCGGTGTTTTTTTATCCGTTAAGCTGCAACTTAGACATATTATCTTATATCTTAATATTCCTATGGGCTGTAACTACATTAGATCCGTATCTCTCCAGATCCGACCCGTTCATCGGTAACCGATGACGCAGACGTGAATGTCTACAATGGATCCGTTTAACTGTTTAACCGTTGTACTCAGGGCCGGCGAAAGCTATGGGCGACCTGGGCGATTTGTCCAGAGTGCCAACATGGAAAGGGCGCCTAGAAAGGAAAGGCCTAACCGAGAATTATTTTCATCTAATTTACCTTTTAATATGCATTAACAATCTACAGAAAGTAAGAGTATAACGGTTGTGTGCCTTCTACTTCAACACTGCCGCTGTAATACTTATTTAGTAATTAATTATGAATTAACCACGTACTATTACCTAAAATTTGTTGGAGTTGCGTTTCAATTGATTCCCACGACTCACATTTTATGTCACGGTTGCGGTAAGCTTTTTCACCCTCTGGTCCCACAGACAAGATTCTCATCTCTCACTCCTTATCAATTTTTTTATAATTTTTTTTAAAAATTTGATTAATATTTAACTTATTAAGTTTTTTAATTCGGAAAGTTTTAACTTTACCAACTAACTTTACCAAGGCGTCGAACAGGAAACAAACATGATTGATCGGATAGTGTCGGAAGTCGTCGGAAATCAAGAATTCGGGAACTTCGTCTCAATCGTAGGCACTAACGTTAAGATCAAAATCGATAGTTTTTCTTCCGACGTCGTCCGACCATCGGAATGGATCGGGAAAAATACGGATCTAATGTAGGTGCAGCCCTATACGTCCGCCGATCGGCAACTCTCGCGTGCTGTACGTCGCAACGCACGTCTTAGGTTATCGTCATCATGTTGCCCGGGGGCGGTCACCCGTAATCGTAAATATGACTCCGACCGTACCCCATCAACCAGTTAAGATATTAGTTAATAAAATACGAATCTGACGGTCCGACGTGCGGTAAGAATCGAGAACTCTCGTGTTCGCTTGAATAGGGTACAATAATAAAAAAAACCTATTCGCTTTCGTCTTTATGTCTTGTGCGCGACCTGCTAAAAAGGTTACGCCCCTAATGCGTAATAACGCATGACGGTAATACGACGTGTTCGGGTATCGACGACGGCGGCGTGCGTAATGATTATGATTATTATCGTTTATTATTATTCGGCGCTCGTATCACTGCGCGATGGACTCGTTGACCCACAGAATGCGCGCGCCAACACACGCGCAGTACCGGGTACAGTTACGCCCGTGCCCCATGTGGACGACGAGGAATTCAGAGCATCATTACACGTTTCGGGTTATAAATGTTCATACTTGTGCCACCTATAAAACACTTTTACTCCGTACGTATATATATGTAAATAATAATTTTTTTCAGAATTTCGGCTAAGTCAACGCCTAAAATCCCCTTTGTGCGCGTAACACAAGGCTGCGCACCGGTACAGATCGCATCACGTTAGCAGTCGGAGTAAGGAAAACACACCATCAACTCAACACTTATACTATGTAAATCGTGTGTATTGTTATAGTTTTACAATAGTAAATAGTGAACATCGGAATCGTAACGCGATATTAATGTCCGGTTAAATTGATACGGTTGTGCCGAAGGGGAAAAAAAAAATCTTAACAATAACATTATAATAAGAAATCAAACATTTTGAATCGCACACGTTATACGTGGTTATGTTACACTTGGCGCGGTGGGTACAACGTTTAATTACATCGAAAAACATTACACCGGACGCGACTTTTTCTTAGATTACTGCGGCTCGTCTCATATTAGTTGAGTAAATATTGTTAAAATATTGAAATATCCGTAATTATTGTTCGATCTGTTTGGTTACAGTGGTGGTGATTGTGGGCCCAGTGGATGACCAGCTCTCCTCGAACGATTCTTCGGAGGAGAACTGTTGCGACGAAGACATGACCGTCTTTTTCTTTATGCCACCGTTCGCCAGCTTCTCCACCGTCTCCGACACCGACTTGGTCGACTCCTCCGACTGCACACTCTTAGCCTTTTGCTCCAGATGCGAGTTGGCAGTGTCCTTGGTCACCTGTTTGGAAAAGAAATCATCACCACGTTATAATTAATATTATTTACTGTGCCCATAGTTTGCGTGTGTGCGTGCGTGAATACGTGTGCGTGATGAATGTAAAATCATCTAATCGTCCTCCTTCCCCCTTAAATTACGTAATTCAATCGCGTCTTAACTGTTTTATATGTATAATGTACAGTATTTTTACAACGTACATAATAGATTCGTCAATGACATATTTTATATATTCCGTTCGAATTTGATGCAGTTATTTTTTAAAACGTTTATTAATTTTTGTATGGCCAAGGTTTGAATCAGGTCGACCTATAATTTAATAGGCATGTAATTTCTATATTTTTCATATTGCTCTCAACAGCAACATTCAATTTATAATTATTTTACAGCTTGATAACTTTGTGACGAAAGTTAAAAATTATTTTCAAATAAAATGTTCACCTGCTACATGATATTACTACATCGAAGAGTATACATAAGTGACATAATCAATTTAATAGCGTTAAAATGCAACGCAATTTCATTTTTTCTTTTGTACATATAGAATAACTCATAGATGTAACAAATGCATTGAAGAAAATGTATAGAGACATATTATGATAGAGTAAAGCAATTGAACGGATTATATTTCGGACAAAATATGGTTTTACTTCAATAAGGAACACTTCTTAATCCTCTCACACAAACTCGGAAACTATTGTGAATACTGAAGTGTAATGGAAATCTCCTATCTATATCTAAATCTCCTATATATAGTCATAATATATAAAAGCAAATCATTTATCAATATGTCAAAACTATTAAAAGGTTTTTTCATTGATTTCAAATGTCAACTTATAAGTTCGGATGAGTACAACGATGAGATACTTGTAATATAGTGTATAACGTATTTAGATATTTTAGATGGAACATTAAAATGAATTTTTCAACGTCCCACGGAGACGTGCGTGAAGTTAGGCCCCCGACATTGTCTGATCTACTCCGGATCAATGCCAATATTTTATAACTCATTTGTAACTATTTGTAATACAGTTTTTAGAATTTGTAACTTCTTACTTTGAGCGAAATCAACATTTTCCTGATGGAGGGACAGCCCCCCGACTTTGTCTCATCGACTCCAGACCAACGCCATTCTTTTATATCTCATTTTTAACTATTTGTAACACAATTTTCTGAATTTGTAACTCCTTACTTTGGGCACTATAAAAAATATTTGATTGGGGAACTTCACGTAGCCCACCAGCGTCTATGAAGTTTCTCCCCTTCCATATGGTCCACATATAAGACTTCAATAAAAATTGCGATCTCTGACTCCTGGTGTTTTTGAAAATTTCATTTTTACTAACTATTTTTTAAATTTTTTATTGGGTATTATTTTTAATAGACATTTATATTAATTGTATTTAATAATTGTTTTCATTAATATTAATTTAATCTTACCAGTTTTTAGAATTTCTTAATTTCACCGTAATAGGCTTTTTTAATTGAGAGGAGGATAATTCATGCAGCCCCCTCCCACTTTGTTCTATTAATTCCAAACCTTCACTTATATATTACCTTACTATCTCATAGCGAACTTATGTACCTACCTATTTTTTTTTTTTTGTGTATAGTGTAAAATCCTTAAATCCGATCCTTAAATAAAATTATTTTTATTCTTATTATTAAACCTATTGTGTTTTTTTTCTTGTGGTGTTGACGAGTTTTTACATGCGTGCTGTACTTCATTGGGTTTTCCTATTTTGTATGTAATGGTATCTTCCATATATGCTGATTTCTGTAGACAATTATATTACGGGCTAGACTTTACGGTTTGATAACAATAATATTATAAAATTTAAATTAAATTGATTCTATTCTCATTTACATTCCAGACGTCCAGTCACATGCTAGTGAAATTTCTTAATTGCTTGTATATTTTATAACAGTTGAGTTTTTTTTTTTTTTTTTTTTTAATTTTTTTAATACATCGTTATTATATTGGTAAGTTTAGAATTATTTTAAATTACAATAGTATGTGATTGCCTATTATTAACGTCCATTACCCTGGCCCCCTCCCCCAAAAATGTATAATTTTTTTCATGCATATAATTAGTACATAATTTGTATGAATTTGTACGACAATTTTCAGAATTTTTACGGAACTCGTTCACCGAGAAAAAATTAGTTTTTCGCCGGAGGGGCTGGAATAATATTTCCGAGAAAAAAAATTAAATATTATGATTACCTGAATCTAAAGGGTTAGTAAGTGATATACCATATACAAAAATGTTATAATTATATATTTCATATAGATAATAAAAAATTTAATCCAATCCTAATCATTGTATGTTTAAATATTTTATACCAACTACCACTAACCATTTAATAATATTAAAACGAGAACATAAACCACTTCATCACATAACTGAGTCGGTCAAAAAGGAGTAAGGTAAGTGTTACAAAATTCTGAGTCAATATTTTTCAATACTTTAACTAGGATTAAAAAAAAAATTTGGTGACGGTCACCGCAGGTCAAATCACGTCGGCTACTGCCGGGTGCGTAAATAATAAATGTACATCAGCATTTAACATGATAAGACCTTGGAATTCGCCATGCTATAAACTACAGGGGCGTAATTTAAGGGGTAAAACTGGAACAATCCCCCCCCAAGAGATTTTAAAACATAATAAAATATTTATATACAAGAAAATTCGTATATTTTACACTATACACAACAAAAATAGGTAGGTACGTAAGTACGCTATGAGATAGTAAGGTAAAATATAAGTGAAGGTTTGGAATTAATAGAACAAAGTGGGAGGGGGCTGCGTGAATTATCCTCCACTCAATTAAAAAAGCCTATTATAGTGAAATTAAGAAGTTCTAAAAACTGGTAAGATTAAATTAATATTAATGAAAACAATTATTAAATACAATTAATATAAATGTCTATTAAAAATAATACCTAATGAAAAATTTAAAAAATAGTAAAAATTAAATTTTCAAAAACACCAGGAGTCAGTCGCAATTTTTTTTGAAGTCTACTATGTGGACCATATGGAAGGGGAGAAACTTCATTATTAATATTATCAGTTTACCAATAATACCCTGTATTGTCTTGGATAAACTAAAAGAATATTTCCGTTATTGTTTACATTCTACATGCGAGGAAATAATATACTGATAACCAAATCATATGTTAAAATACTGTAATACCGAGAAATTCGCATCCTCCCTTCATTGATTATCGTTTTGTTAAACACGTTTGAAACACACATGTTATTAAATATACAATTAAATGGCACACGTTAACATTGTACGAGTTAATATTATATCGTACATAACTAGTGGCGGGGTCGGGAATGCCGATCTCTGCAGGAGTTCCAAATTATATTCACAAAGATGAGAGATTTTTTTTTTTTTCTTTATTAATATATACACAATCTATACACAATCGGTACAATAAGAGTATGAGCTATTGACTGGAAGAAATTAAAAACGTTGAATAAAGAAGCCACTCGCTGATGACACTTTCGTTTTTGTCTTTTAATTATTTTATTTGATACCATACATTCTTTTTTTCATTTATTTTTTATTTTTATTTTTTTCTAGGGATTAAGGGTAGTAGATCTCTGCACCACTTTCACTTAAGGCGACGAGGAGGATTTCCAGGGATGGTTAATTCAGTTAATTTTTTAATGAATGCATATGATGTGAGTTAAGACGTAGGTGTTATTATAATAATTATAAATATAATTATAATAATTGCTTGCCTCTTCCTGAATTGTTTTCATGTATAGATCTATATGCAGGGTGTGATTTGATACGAATGGTGGAGAATTGGTAATTTTCCTTAATGTTATATATTGAAACCATTGAATTTTATTTAAATTAGAAATTTTTGCATTGTCCCAAACTTTAGGCCGTATGTCCAAATTATCTTTAAGAAAGATTAATAGAGAAGTAATTTAATATTTAGTTTTAATTGATTGTTGTTGACGATTAGGGTTTTGAGCATTCGTAAACGGGAGTTTAATTGTAATATTTTGACTTTAATGTGGTGAGCCCAGATAAGACGGCGGTCAAGATATTTAACATTTGAGGATGGGGGAATCTGATTACCAAATGCGTTACTTCTGGTATAGTGCTAATTTAAGTGTAAATGTAGTTTGTACTGATTTAGATTGGTTTTAAAGTGCCACTTTTTATACCAGTCTTCCATTGATGAAAAATGGTTTTATGGGGTTTTGGAGGCTATAGTAATATTTGAACTGGATGATATTATAACTTTATCGTCCGCATAGTATACTATAAAAAAAAATAAAGATGAGAGTAAAAACAAAATAGATAGGTATATCTTAAATCAAGGACCCTCCATTAAAAAATTAAAATGGGGTTTAATTCGGTCAAGCTGCATCACCGCGTGTCAGGGGCGGATTTATGGTGGAAAGACGACGTAGCAATTGTCCATTTCCTCCCCCCTTCTTCTCTTGGACTTTTTTTTATAACAGAATTATTTAATATTTTTGACTTAGGTACACTGCCATATATATATATATATATAATAAATATTTAAATATATTTAATATCGAATACAATTTATATCATTGTATAGATATCATGTTTCATGATTATAAATAATAGTATAATATACAATATAATATAATAAAACTAATACTATTCCTATATTCCCTACTCCTTAAATAAGCTTCAAATTCACCCGTATCGCGTGTGCTTTGATTAAGCTATCGAGGAATAAAAAATTCCTGTATGTAATAAATACACTTTTTTTAAGATGTTCACAAATTACCAATTTTTTTCGTTACATCTTAATATGCGTATTATGTTTATTCTGAAAAATTAATCGGATAAAAGTTTATTTCTTAAAAACTTTGTTAGTTGAATCATGGATTTTTGTTCCCTATAATTGCAAACTGAATTCAATAAAACTGCTAAATGGTAAATACTAAATTTGACTGCATTCAAAAAGTTTACAAATGATTTATGAGTCGAGCTTTATCGAATTAAGTTTCTGAATAATGTGTAATATGGTTATACGAGGAAGGATAAATGTGTACACTTATAAATAATAGAACAATTTCATACAAAATTCTAAATTAACCTACTAGACCAGCAGTCGCAAACCGGTGAACCGTGGATCACCAGTGGTCCACGAGAAAATTTAAATGGTTCGCAGAAAAATTTGACTATTAGGTACTTACAGAATCTTTTTGTCGTTATTTCTCAAAAAAATAAGACCCTAGACATAGTACTATGTGGATAATAGATCCATTGCAGCAAACGATGAAAATAACAAGTTAAATATGACCGAAAAAAATACCTCATCGATTTATTTAACGGTATTTATGTAAAAAGCTATTTTAAGATAAAAGTGGTCCATAGAATTTAGAGTATGTATTTAGTGGTCCGTGAGGTCCAAAAAGGTTGGCAACCACTGTACTAGACCGTCAATGGAAGGTGGAAGGAAGATTGTACAATTTACAATTTACAATTTACAATACACATAATGTTATATATGATATGACACGAAATACAATTTAGGTAATAAACCATCTTGCTAGTACCCTAGCCAAACATGTTAATACATAGTGTTATTTATTTCATAATAATTGCTCTACACGTAAATAATTAATTTTACCTGAACATAATTACTGAGTAATGACGGAAATGTTATAAATTAGATTAACAATTACCGGCCTCGAATATAAGTTTGACTCATCACGACCAAATATAATTCAATTAAAATTGAATTTCTGGCTCATAAAATAAATAGGTTATTCATTCGCTGTGATTTTTGCGTTTAATTGTTAAATTATGTTACATTAATATCCGATTAGATAGACAAGTTTATTCAACATATATATATATTTGTTTTATTGCTGATTACGGTTGGACAATATTGCCTCAAAAAAAATTAGATATTGATTTAGGAACATTACACATGAGAGTGGAACTTGATTAAAAACAAAAAATTCAAAAAAATAGGAGTATTAATCAATAACTACAATAATGTTTTTTATACAGTTAGTATGAATATGGTTAAAAAATCAACAAACTACAGGTTTTGAGTAAATTGAAGGATTTTGCTAAGTCATTAAAGTAAGTTATACTGAATTTTAAAACATTAAATTATACTGATAATGTGCACAGCGTTCAGAATTCGATTCTAAGTAATTATAATAGGTTATCAATAGTGCGTATACAAATATTTTGATCACTTGGGAAAAATGTTCATTCAGAACATTGTAATAATATGTAATATAGTATACAATCGGTATAGATACTATATTAAGTCCACAAGAAACTTTTGGAATACTCAGACTGCGAGGGGAAGAATAGATATTATCAACAAAAAACAAAAAATCACGTCGAAGTGAAGCTAAGCAATTCGTAAGTTTATGAATAATCTAGGACTATATACTCTAACTATATAGTTAATATTTTTTCATGTTCAGATAATTTAAAAAAAAACACACTGTACCACAATCATACACAAGTGTTTTTTTTTTCTTAAAAAATGAATATTACCCTCGCATGGATTGTATGATATCTATAATCGAATCATTAATATAAATATTATGTTTAAAATATAGTCAAACCACATTATATATAAGTAGATTTAATTCACTTGTAACCGTGGTTCCAAATCGATAACCAAAAAACAGCCAAAACATGTGTGTGTCTTAACAATAGTACACGCATGTTTGAATATAATCGCACTTCCGAAATGCTGAAACGCATTTCGATCAACACATCTGGTATCATATTGTATCAACCGAAACAAAATTCTGTTTGGCCTCTTCAAAAAAGTATTTTTATTATCTCCTAAATAATTTCTTACTTTTTCATCATAAATAAAATATTTAATTTTAAAAACTTTAATAGTGTGATCGCGTCTTAATTCTTCCCGCTCGCCGTTACACATCATATATCGAACAATATTCCCATTGAGTCATTACGAACTGTTATTACTACCTATAGACTGTTGTATAGTATAATATACCGTATTATTGTACATCTTTATTCGATAAGCGAGTGATTGAAGAAACTATAATACCATAGAATCGAAATTTTAAATCCAATCGACGCCGACGTGCGGTTCACCTAGTGAACATTCTCTCATACTTCAGAATTGAACATCAGATGACTGTCCTTTCAGATAAATCGCTCCTTAAAACCAATATTTAATTACCTATGACAACGGTAATTATGCATGTTTTATTTGTTTAATTTAACTTATTCCATTTTCAGAACCTCCGCTCGTAAGTACACACCATTCGTATACGAACATCATTTTTGCACGTCAATTTTAGGGGAATATTAATATACATATACTGCGAAGCTGGTGATTTATACCACACACGTAAAATTATTTTTATTATTATTATGTTGACATTCAGCAGTTTTATTTTTTCGATAGGTAATTCGTTAATTCGTTTTGTGTACCATGGTGTCGCAATGAACGTGACATCTTAGTTTTTAAAGAACGGTATTTAGGCGTCTACTTTTACTTTGGTGTTCACGTGATGGTATCTCATAAAACTCGGGAGCAACACAGCACGTAAACAGCATACAAAATGGATCGATATATTATTTAATATTATCGTATTATCTATACGGTGTGACCAATGGCGTATTTGAATAGGGGGGGGGGGG